ATATAATTAGAATTATATACTCGAATTCATTTAATAGCCAAGTTTTAAAGAGTAGATCTTGCAACTTTTTATCTACAAAAGCTTTGCTCTCATTAATATTTAATGTTTTAAATAAAAATATTATTTAAATGTCGAAACGATACATAAATTATTCTATTCTTTAATCCATTAAAATGTTCAAAAACGACCGATATACCAGAAATGAAAGAAAAAATCAGCTCAAAACTTCATCCACATATCTCTCTATAATCAAACAAAAATAGTTTTTTTCAATTTTCCACAAAAGCTGGCAACAATAGTATATATATTTATTCAAAAAAATTATATTACGAATTGTACAATATGATGACAAAATTTATTTTAAAAACCAAAAATATTTAACAAATAATACAGATTTTGTTTTTTTTAAATACGCATATTATGGGTGAACACAGATTCAGCAGAATAATTGCGTAGCTACAATTTTTTTAAGAGTGCGATATAAAGCTTTCTCGTTACATTTAAATTACGTCAGAAAATATGTGAGAATTTTTTATAAAATTAATTCTTCACCCACACCTTTCGGAAATACTGACAACCAGTAACTAAGGGAGAGGAGTGTTTTTTTTTTCTTTTCTAACCCTTCCCCCCAAAAAATGTTTATTTAATCAAATTACATATATAGTAGTAAATTATATAACAATACAATATATGCAAGTAACAAATTCCTTCCACTGCCCGAGGGCAAAGGGAAAGGAGTGTCCAGCGGGATCCCTTCTTATCTTGATTTTTGTATATATTTTAAGCGAGAAGATACCTCATTCAGCTCCTTTTGAGGCTTATGGGGCATTTTAATTGTAACCATATCTTGTATGAGTTTGTTGGTATGTTCATGTAAGTTACCGTAAAAATTGTATACGTCCGTATGTGATCGTTAACTATTGGCATTTAAAGGCCTTCATGTGAATTAGTATTTATGTCGTATCATGCAGCTTTAGTTATAGTTCTGATAGTTTTTGACTGAAAAGTTTGTAGTTTTAGTGTGTAGGTCATTTTGGCTGTCCCATATATCTATATCTGTGAAGCTAAGATCCACATGGGCTAAAGTACATAAATTTAAATGTCCGTTTTCTGTTTTAGGTTTAATTTTGAACGTCTAGAAAAAAAGCCAGCATTACAGTCGTTTTCTGAGGTTTCTCTTTTTTTTTTTGTGGATATATAAACCAAATGTTAGGCCTCTTTTTTTGTCGAAGTGTAAAAGTAATGTGTTGAGATTTGTACTGGTTGAGTCGAATTTTCTAATATGTGCATCAATCATTTAGTTTTGGTAGATGATGTTGTAAAGTCTGTGAGACGTTTGTAGGATTTTTATGTCTTGTTACAATTGTTGTACTGTCTGCGTAATTCACTATAATAGTTCAAGTACTGTTAGGAACGTCGTGTGTGTATATAATGTATGAAAGCAGAGCGAATACTGACTCCTGAGGAACTCCTCCTAATGTTGGTCTTATTGAAGAAAGTTCTGAGTCTTGATAGATAGACAAAAATCTGTCAGAAAGAAAGCACTGAATAAAGAGATAATAGGTAGAGGAGGAAGTATCATCTGAAGTTTGAAGAGAAGCCACTGATGTCAGACTCAATCAAATGCTCAATCGACATCCAGAAGTACTCCTGTTCCATATACAATAATTTCTGTTGTAATGCAGTTGCAATGGATATATATGTGTGTGCATATATATATATATATATATATATATATATATATATATATATATATATATATATATATATATATATATATATATATATATATATACTATATATATATATTTTTTTTCTTACTTATTATTTTATGTTATCTCCATTTCATGCATTAAATAAGTTTCATATTTCATAGATTATTATGTTTTTTTTAATCATTATCATTATAAAATGCTAAATGCGCAGACTTAGATATTTTTAGTCTGTATTCTGAACCTGATTGTGTATCGGTGGAAAATAGTAATTTTTTTTAAATCATAAAAAATACTATTTTTTTTTCAACAAAGAGCCATATCCTTCTAAAGTGCCCGTACGAATCCATTATTTTTTTTTCTATTCAGACATAACAGGTATGTCTCGGTTCAGTTCGATTTTTTTCCTTCATAGTACTATTGTAGATTTGATGTAGTTTCGATATCCGGAGCTCTTCGGATTGTATGGTACACGATTTTTTTTCTTTTCAGGAGTTTTTACATCGATGCTAGAAACCCGGGTGCCAGCGAATAGTCCTATATATTTTCTGTTCTGCTACTCCTTGATTTTCAGCTACACCCATTCCCCAATCAGATTTCTTACACGGTCACAATTTCTACTATTTCGAATTATAATTTGCTGTATGATGATTAAAAAGGAATTTCATGATTGATAATTTTTTATTTTTTTTATTAACTATTGTTTAGATATATTTATTAGTATCAACAACTCTCTGTTTTAATAAGAAAAAAACAACTCTGAAAAAACAAAAAAAAACAAGTTGGTATATCTTCTTCATTATTTCAATTAAGTTAATAAGAGAAACAAATGCACTTTTAATTCATTATTTTATAATGTTTTGAAAATTTATTCTCCTCTTCAAAACGTTTAGCGTAACTGATATTTAACACTTTATGGGATACGTTTTTATGCCTTATTTATTTGTATGTAATTGAAACCTCCTTTGAAAATATGAAAACGCATACACCAACAGATTTTATAATCAAGATATATTTTTGATTAATATATAAGTTTTAACAAACGTTAATTTTTTACCCTGTTATTAAGAACTAAAATACTCTAGTACTTAAAGCTATTTTCAGACATTCGATTGATATTTGTTTTAAATCATATCAGGTATTTAATATAATATTCTAAGCCAGGGGGTGTAAAATAGACTAATTATCTATCTCGATATTAAGCAACATTTACCTAATTATGTTAATAACAATTGAGTTGGTGTAATTTTATTCAATCCAATCTGAAGGGTCATACAGCAGGTAGAGTAGTGAACAACGCAGGATAAACAAAACTGTATAATTCTAATTTCACGGTATGCTCTGGAAATGGGGCGACAATTCACTATTCAAATGTTTGGGCTCGCCACTGATTTTACCTCTTCTGAATTTCCGGAATCGTTGCTACATTTAATTCAGTGTGGCGTGTGTTTTAAAAGTTTAAATTCAATAATTTCTACTTAAATTCGTCATAAATTAATGTACATATTTAAAAACATTAACATGTTAGGTGAACATTATCTTAAACATTAAAAAAATAAAAATAAGGTTTTTCTAATTTTTTTATGTTTCCTATTATTTTTATTTTTTGCCCTTAAGACTTGTCAAAGCAAGTACTATAAGTACTTGAATTATGATTTTAAATATTTTATGTGAAATTTATACTGGTTATATTAAACTTGAACTTTAATAACTTAATATTTTTACTAACTCACAGGAGTTTATAGTTTTATGTGAGTTTCATTGAACTAATGTGTGGGTCATTAATCTTGAATGAGCATAAGAGGCTTATATAGATGCATTTATTTAATTTAAAAATTGCCCTAATTTACGCGGATTATTTTTATTTATTGACCTTTGAAAACTATACTGTCATCCACAGCTTACGACCCTAAACTTATTCTTCTTTTACATTGGAAGGCAATGCATCTTGGAACCTACAGGGATTGGCATGTTGGACAGTAAAATCGTTCTTAGTTCTTAGACATATTACATGTAGATATTTATTTGTTCTTCCATTATTTATTTATTTCGATTCTGAATGAACTACGAGTTTAAATACAAACCTTATGAAATAGACATGTTGACTATTAAAGTATAAGAAGTTGAAAAATTAAATTGTAAATTCGATTACAGGTCTATTTGCTTTGTCGTGTAAATTACATATATCGTTGTAAGATGAAGTGGAAAAAAAACTACATATGTTCCATCAGCATGCAAAAAAAAATCCATCACCCCCTAAAATACATTTTGACCTTATAATTTTCGCTGATTACTAGTTGTAAGATAAATCAATCAAATCATAAATTTACAATAAAACATAGGTATTTATAAAATTGTATTGGGATTGAACGCTTCTTTTATTTCTAATATATTAAAGAATATTTAATAAAATTTTTATCTCGACATTCTCTTTACATTTACAGTTTGGCTGTCGACAGTACAGTTTCTCGAGCCACAATGTAACAACGGGAATGTTGCATGTCGCTGTAGACTTATGTGGAGAAGAAACCTAACGGAACACGAGATACGTAGTTTTGTATTCGACGATGTATGAACTCCCCGTATCTGACAGCAGCTTTTATCCGATAATTCGTGAAATAGGAGCTGAAACTCAGCATTTCTGTCGAGTTTTAAATTATATTGTATTGCCGCTTTATCGATGTTATTAAAAAAATAAATAAATTAACAGATTAAAGGGTTTTCGTTCATTTATGAAAACCAAACAAAGCAATCAAATTTTATACCCCGTGCCTTTATTGCGCTGAGAATGTTACAAGCTATGGTTTATATCGTTTAACAGATGGAGCTAATGTATGAAATACACGATTAGGATTAGATATCTAAAAGGGCAGTTAATCAACCTCCACCACATGCTTAGTGAAGGATTACCCACATTACTTTTGAACTGAATGAGAAATCCAACATCGTTTACTAATCCCTGGTGATATTAAGCCACATAAAGTACAATAATAATACAAATAAGTTCAGGACGTCAGATGGTTCGCTGGCGATATAATCAACAATCGCTTACATATCTCTCAAATAAGCCACATCCTCAAAACTTAAATCTAGGAGGCCAAACACAATCCTCCAACTTCAATCTTGGCCCTTCTAGTATTTCGTTTCTTATAGTTATTTTAGAACCTAGGTACTTCGAATTGTATGCATATTTCCTGTTTCAACATAAGGTTTCGTCTATAACTTCATTTATAGTTTTAATAAGAAATGAAACCATTAGTACATGTTATTTAATTGTTTGTTCAATAGGTTGTTGAAGCTGGAGTCGGAGTGGAGAGAAATGGTTCTGTCCAATACTCCTTGGTCATCAGCGGACTCAGAATGTCCACCAACTACTCGATATCGGTCGAGGAAGGAAGGAGAACAAGGAGAGTTGGGCGAAGCCGGACCATCTTAGTGGCTACCAAAGGATGTGAGTACCATTTTCTACACTAAAGTAATGAATGAGATCAGAAATCAAAAAATTAATCAATAATTTGGAAATAAGTAGTAAGTGTTCTAAAAAGGTATATTATTTCTGATGACGATGCTTAGAAATTTATAATATTATTAGAAAAAAAGCAGTTTTATTGTTAGATTAATTTATGAGACAATGTAGATTTATTAACTTATTTTTTGTTTGTTTGTCATTTCATGTCAACACTTTCTAGAACGAATAATCATCGCTACCTAATTCTCATTCTAAGGAACAGATACCTAGTCCTGTCATCAATATTGTTACAAGAAAATATTTACATATTTCAACAGAAAAATTATTTTTTTCTTTAAAACTTTATTAGAAAATAAAATGTATATCTATAGAGAGTAAAACAAAAAATAAATCACTCAAAATGTCCTCCTTTTGCGTTAACACATGCAGTTAATCTCCGTGGCCAGTCAATAGCACCACTCAGCACTTCTTGAGGAAAGAGCTAAACTGCTAGGACCTTTGTTTGAGGCTTTCCAAGTTAGCGTGCTCTTTGTCATGCCATCCTCTCCAGTTCGGACCAAATCCGATAATCTAGTGGGTTGAGATCAGGGCTTCCTGAGGGCCAATCCGAAGCAGAGATGAACTCTGGAATGTTCTTTTGTAGCAACCGCTGAGTTAACCTGGTCTTGTGAGCTAGAGCGGAATCCTGCTGGAAACCCCGAAGACTTCCAGCAAAAGAGTATCATTTAGAGGTTTGACAGGTTTTAAAATATCGTCCTGATGGTTTTTAGTGGCTGTTTAAACCCATTTTTCACAAAAATGGAGCTTTGTGGTGTCATCAGAGCAAACTCTCCACCAAATCATCACTGAGGAAAGGTAAAGACCTCTTTCTACTACTCCAATGACTTCCTGGGCTTCTTTAGAGCTGAGTTCGTACACACGATTATTTTGGCGATTAAATTTTTCTTCAATTGTAATTTTTTTTTTTCAAGACAAAATCTTTCGATGAAGAACATTGGTGTAACGGCCAAGGAGCACTTGGCATCTATCCGCCCATCCTAAGGTCACTTTTTATTATGCCAGACATTGATATGACAGAGATTCCCATTTCCCGAGACATGATTTGTTGTTTTCGAATGAAATTTCTTCTGATTCGAGCAGCCACTGCTCTCACAGTATTTGCCGTTCTCACAGTGCGGTCGAGATCTGTCACATACAGATAGGGTTTCATTATATCTATTTATAGTGCGGTACACGAACATACGGCTGATACTCAAAGGTTTCAAAGTGTTGAAAATCTCTGATCTACATTTTCCCAAAGGCGTTCACAGCTATTCGATTTTCTTTGCCACCTCACTCCATTTTAACTGAGCGAAAGAAAATACAAACTAATTGGGATTATTATCCTGAGATGTAAAGAAAACCTGATCGTGGTGATAATTATGTAAATAATATCCAATGATGCAAACAAAGTTCAACTTCTCGCCATTTATGCTATTCGGGATTTCCCCGGGCCGGAGGGTAAGGGGGACGCGAACTCTTACTTATTTTCGTCTCTCAAAACTTCATATATCTGGTTGCCGGGCAACTCGCGGTGCTGTGCACACGCTTTAGCCCATTCGGCCACCCCGCCCTCAAGAACTATGTATCTATTAGAATCATGAATGTCCAGCCTTCGTATAACGCGTGCCACTAGCAGATCCAGGGTTTCATTTTTCAGGGGGAGAGGCTTCAACCCGAAAGCTTTTTTTTTTTTTTTTAAATATACTAATAATTACTTTAGACGAAAACGAAAAACTAATTTACCCATAAGAAGTGCTATTTAAGTGATTCTTGAAGTCATATTAAATGTAATTACACGAACAACAATACTTTTAGAGATAATTTTTAATATTTGTTTCACGAGACATGGTAATATTTTACCACCTTGGAGGGGCTTCAGCCCGAAAGCCCCCCTCCCTGTAGATCCGCATGTGACGCTTGCCACCACCAAGGATTTTCTTGGTTGACCAAGTACCAACCAAGAGTTTGAAAACAACAGTAGTAAATGTGATAAAGTAATACAAAAAAATATTTATTTTTATTTATTTATTTTATTATTTTCTATATTTTATTAGTTATTTACTACTTTATTTCCCTCATCTATATTCTCAGTTAGATAAATATTTTATTAAATGAAATAGAATATTCATGGTATAAACTGGTTTTAGTAATATTATTTTATTGATCGGGCGCTGATGACCTAGATGTTTTGCACCTAAAACAGCTAAACAACCAACCGACCAAGAATTCCTCATATGGAGGCGTGACAAATGTATCCATCTTGAAGTACGGAATTGGATGAGCTTCATATAGGAACCGGATAAATGTCGTGTAGGCTGATTCAGGAGGCGTTGACTCAGAAATAAGTTACGCTCATGATATGTAGGTATAATAGATCCACGGTCTCCTGAGAAAAGACTCATTACAGATTAACCTCCTCTTAAATAATGTAATAAACTGGTTTAATGATGAATTGTTATTTATAGCATCTTATAATTGGATATATACTAAACAACAGAGAAAAACGGTAATTTAAGCATAGGCAAAGACTTCGGATGGAGGGGGGACGATCGCTCTACCAATAAAAATAGAGGTATCAATAGAATATCGTTTCGCCCTATCCCTCTAATATTTCGAAATATAAAATTCAAATCAAAATCAATAACAATAACAATTAACCTACATGAATGATTAAAATATATAAACTAAAATCTACTTAGAATATAAGAAAAATCAACTAGATGGCTAAGTTAAGGCCTAGAAGTAGGTATTTATGTATATATATATATATATATATATATATATATATATATATATATATATATATATATATATATATATATATATATATTTAAGTATGCATGTATTTTACCAAGTCCTATGCAGCGCTGGCTGGGGCTTCATGGCTAGGCAATTGCACCGCTGCCCCAATCTGCATCAGAACTCCCGCCAATTGTTTGGAATTAAATTAATTGTTATAATGGTTAATTGTTTCAAATAAAAAAAATAAAGGTACTTTATAGAAATAAATAATGAAAATTAGCCATTTAAGCCCTCTTAAAGATCATCAATGAAAATAAAACTTATATTATATTAAAAACTTTTTAATTTTACACTGCTATAAAGAATTTAATCAAAATCATTGGAGCTGTTTTCGAGAAAATTGCAAAAATGTGTAAAATCTATTATATAAAGTGCCACTTTCCGTTTGCCGATTTTGAAGAAAAATTCGCTTTGACATCATGGGTATATACAAACCTTAAATATGCAATTTCATTTTCATACATTTCATTTTTGACCTACACTGTTCACATACATAGACACACAGAGACTATTTTGCGGGACTTGGTTATTTGGACTCAGAAGACCTCAAAACATGTATTTCTGATGATAAGTTAGATTCGAAAACTTTTACGATCGCAATATTTTCTCTTACTATATATATCATATATAGGTAAATGAAAGTATAAAAAGATACAAAACGAATGAGAATAAATAATTTTAGCTTCTTAGTAAAGCAACTGAATTAAAGAAATATTGAATGAAATAGAAATTCAAATATTACTTAACATAAAACAGGTTAAGAAATCAATTAAAAATTTTGGAGGGGATATGACGTCATGTCATGTCGATGGCTCCCAATATTTAAGGCCGGCAATGGCCCTATGTTTCTATTGTTGAAATTTTAATATTTTTTCAAAGATAATTATATGTAGCAACCTATTACTTTTACTTACTTATATATGTAATATATAGTAAGGGTAAGTATTGCGATCATTGAAATTTTCGAATTTGAGTTTTCGACGGAAATACACGTTTAGTTTTTGGATTGTTTCAATGATTTGAGTGTTATATTATTCGTTTTACAATAATTATGTTAATTATCACTCATAACTTTTATATATAATATAAACTCCCGAGATTTTGTTTAGAGGAACTGGTTACTATTTTGAAGCTTTTGATTAAACTACAGTTATAAAATGGGATTAATTCAGAATGATGAGTAACGCAGATAATCTTCTGGAATCGAAGAAAGATGTGGTGCAATCACAATATATACGGTGGATTCATAAACATAAAACTACTAAGCGAAAACTCAAATGTATAAAATATAATGTTTACTCTTTACTATTTTTCAAAATTAATATAATATTATAGTTTTTTATTTTAGTCAATCTTTATCTTATGCTGCTATAAAAGTTTAAATTTAACCTCATTGAGTAAAATATATTTTTGTGTTATAATAAATTAAAATCCCTATTACATTTTAGAAAAAAATAATTCATTTTCAACTATATCATATTATTAATAATAGTTCTGATATTGGAATTATGAATTAATATGACTTTGGATTTTCTAATTTTACAACTATGAACTAATCATTTTTGAAAAGATACTATTAAAACAATTAATGTTAATATTCCTACGTATATAAATGAATCTATAACTAAGTAAAAATCAATAATTTTGATACCTGGCATATATCATCTAGTTTTTCTTTCACTCTGCTAACGTCGTTAAACCAAGTTCAAAGAAAACATTTAATTAAAGTTAATAACGGATCGATAATACGACAAAAAAGTTTAATACTTAAATGGGACAAAACTTATTAAATTGTTAGTGAACTATTAAACTAATTAATAAAATGACAATCACAAAACATATGAAAATGAATCGTACATTTCTTAAGATGGCTCAATAGAGCCCGTCTAAGCAGTGTAGACAATACATGTAATAACAGTGTTGCCTCTATAAAAATGTTTTGAGAAATATGTTTTAACTATACTAATAGTTTAATAATACTAATAGTATAGTATCGAAAGTCTCAAAATTATTTAGGTAAGACAATGATAATGGAAGCCGCATTTAGTTTTAGCGGTGATAATAAATGTATTTGTGTTTCACAGTGGGTGTTTTTTATCTTCTTATGCATATATATTTGAATATACATATTTTAATTTCGTTTTAAATGCTATTCAATTTTAATTTCATGTTCTCTAATAACAGAGATGACATTTAATGAATTCTAAACGAAAACGCACTGATGCTATAGGTTCTCCAACTAAAAAGTAAGTAATAACATTATGAATGATAAATTATAACTAACAAACATTTTTAAGATCATTTCAATAACTGTGAAAGAATATATAATTAGTAAACAATTCTATGTTTGCTTAAACCGACGGTATTATGACCATAAATGCAATTTAGCAAACTCATTCGAATCAGTTGTGAAAGCGCTCAGGACCTAATGAAATAAACATGAGCAGTATCAGCTGTAATTGACTTCGACTGACAAGCTTGATAAATCGATCTTCACTTCATCTATTACAGATAATACATTCAACCAGTGAGCAGGATATTCGCATGATTAACTACCGACTTTATCATCAACTATGTAAATTTCTCTAGGGAAATGATAACATCAGAAAAAACATTATTCTAAAATCTTGTAGTTCTAGTAGAGTAGTAATTTGCACAGGCAAGAAATGGTTTTACTAAGAAATTTTATTTTAAAGAAAAAATGATTAAAATTGCATTTTCCGCCTCTCAGACGTTCTACTCTTATCATAAAACAATTAAACCTCATAAAACGCATCCTCAATCGTGATTTTACCGCTACAGAACAATCCCTGTCAAACATCTTGGCCTATTCAAATCTCCCTTTCAGGTATATCCTTCAACAATAGGTTCATTAAATTTGGAATCTATTCAACGATCCTATAGATAAAATCTTTGGAAAACACATCTTGAAACGCCTGTATCCAAACGCAGATTTAAGTCATGTGATTCTTGATCATCATTTTGGATTAGGAATATCTTATTTTACTATTCAGCAGACATTGTGTGGTGTACATAAGCATCTTCAGTGTCTGAAGGTGTTCTGCAATCTTTTTTCGTTGAACAGTGGTACAGAGTTTTGATACAGTCTGACATCCTGGATTGTTTTACAAGCTTCTTCTCCTTAAATGCTGCCTATTAATTCATCCTTATCACACAAACAGGGCCTTTGAAGTTAATATAATAATAATTTTGTGTATTCATCCCTCTTTTCCCATCCAATGTAGTCCCTCAAGGTACTCATTGTACTATGTCATTGTATTCCTATTCTTTACATTTATATAGCTGATATCTTAAGTCTGTCCTCACTATTTACACTAATGCCACACGTTTAATCTGTCACCAATGTTCCTACTACTTCAGCCAAAACTCTTCAGTAACAAATTACAGTCATTGAAGAATGGTTTCAAAACTGAAGAACTAAAATAAATTTCTACAGATCCCATCAAATTACTTTTATCGGTCATCATAAACCTACATCATTCTGGCTTATAGTATCCTTTAATAATGTTACATTTATTCTCGACAAACTAATGTGCTGCCCAGGAATCCATTGTGACAAGCACAGGTGGATCTACAGGGTGAGAGAGAGGGGAAAGTGAAGCTTTCTGACTGAAGCCTCTCCCCCAAAATGGTACAATATAATCATGTTTTATAAAAAAATTATCTTAAAAGTATTCTTATTCATCTAATTACATTTAATAGGACTTCAAGAATCACTTAAACACCATTTCATGTAGGTAGATAGTTTCATTCTTCCTTCCGAAGTAATTATCCTAATATATACATACAAAAAAAAAAAATCTTTGAAGCCCCCTCAAAATTAATCCTGGATCCGTTAGTGGTGACAAGTGACTTACTTGGAAAATACTACAGAAAGCTCATAAACATTACCACTATCAAGCCCATTTGGACAAATGAAACAACTTTGGAGCTCCACGAAACCACCATATAATCCTTAATGTTCCTTATTAGTAGAAACCAATATTTCATTTGTTGCAGATTTAGTCCAAAATTCAATATCTCTTTTAATTGCAAACTACTTACCCATCAGAATCCTTTTGCTTGTTAACACCTCTCATTCCAAATACTCCAAGAGGTCTGAAAATAAGATGACCACAGGAGCTCCTAAATTAAAGTAATCATTGAAGTGCAACCAAAGAGTAGTTGCTTCACGAGCTACTATTGTACTTTTTAATTTTTAAATTTAATTGTAATTTTACTTATTGTACTTTTTTAATATATATAGTTGTTTATTTCAATTTTAAAAAATCTAAATAAAAGTTAAATAGCATTACTAACTTTTTAAAAATTTTAATGCCAGTAAAATTAATTGATATATGTTTGAATCTCCAGGAATAGGAAGGAATCCAAATAGATATTCCTAACTTTAAAGAAAATGTACCTGATGCTCTATATATTAAAAAAAAATTGTATTGTTCATTTATATTTTAAAATGTTATGCCTAAGTTTATTTTATCATTTATATATATTTAATTATATATATATTTTTTTTTTTTTGTATAGTTTTTGGTTCAGCAATGAATGAACCGACAAAATTGACCTAGCTATTTTAATTAAGGCTAATTTTCAGGCTTTTAAAAGATAAAATAAAATGCAGCCTTTTGTTTAAACTTAAAAGTAGTTAAAAGTCATTTATGTTTTGAATATGTTAATAAAGAATAATTTTCTTTTTTTCAAGTTTCTGCACGGGCTGTGAGTTGCCTACCAGATGTTTCTGAAGTGGAAGTTGAAACTGGTCCCTACTTCCAAGGCAGAATTGGGGTTGAGTCTGGTCCTTGTTCTATTGATGGAGACCCTAACAGCCCTAAAGACACTTACCTGCTACGAATCCAACATGCTGATTGCGGTTCTGCCTCAAATGACACAGCAGTATCCACTTTTGTTCTTGTTCAGGAATCTTCCCATATACTGACACATTCTACTCGTAGATTTTTAGTTTTATGTACTTTCCAGCCAGAAACTCTGACAGTGCGGGCAGGGTAAAGTATCAATTAATTTATAATATTTTTATTACACCTGTAGGGTCATCCTTTCCATATTCGTTACTTTAAATATCAATTCAGGGTTTTATGATATAATTTTATTTTGGTGTAAGTAAAATATAGATCTGTCATTTAAAATATATAAAGATATAGAGATGGTTGACCGTGATATAATATGAGAAGGTGTTGCTCGGGAGGTGCGATCAAATAAATACTAAATTTTAAAAAATACTACTTATTTAAATTTAAAATTGAAATAGTAGTTATTTGACCACACTCCTTTCCTTCCCCCAACCAACTCCTCATAAAATATATAAACTAAAATCAATGTTATTAATGAATGATTTTTCATGCATATTGAAAGTGCAAGCTCCTTTCAAAGAGAAATATTTTAACTAGTTTGTTTTCAGAAAGTATTCAGTGTTAAACCTATAATTACTTTAAAAAGATTCTGTTTTAGTAGTAAAATATTCTGCGCTACATAAAGATAATGAAATTTATAGTCGTTATTTATTTTCAAAACAGTTATTTTTGCAATTAATTGTAAAAATTGCATTGTTTTTCCAATATTTGCATGTTGCTATAATGCTTTTATCTTATTTTTTATTGATTTAAACTGACCTGATAATTCAATGTTCTGTATATTGGTTCTATCAAATACTAAAACGTAATGTGTACCACAGGTTAAATTTACCTCATACAGCTGATGGAATGGTTGAACCCAGCCTCAGTGACATATCAGAAAATGAGGTTCATGCAGCCCCATTAATGCAAGATCAACAAAAAGAAGGTACACCAAGAACCCAAGTAACATAATGTTATTATTATTTTAATTAAAAGAAAATAATGTGGTATTATTTATTATATATAGCTGGAAGCAAAGATGTTGGAACAGTTCTTGGAACAATTGGTGTTGTTATTGGCTTGGTGGCTGTTGGATTGTTTATGTGGAAGTATCTATCACCAAAATTCTTAGCAGGTATTAAACACTTATCCTCTAGTTTACGTGTATTTCTTAAAGTAGAAATAACTTTTTTGTTAAACAAAAATTGTATACAGTGGCTAGTGCTTGTAAATTTCCTTGATTTGAAAATCTGATTTGGTTCTAAAAAGTTAAATAAAAGTATGTGTGTTAACAACTACTGCCTTAAACGCTCCTTGGACTCCTACAACCCAATCTAAACCAAAAACAGGTATGATTTCCCCTAATATAATAAAAGAATGCAATAAAATAATAATAAAAAAAGTACTATTCATGAAAACAGTGAAATTCATATCTGTGTTACTCTTTCTGATTCGTTCCTTTATCTGCATTCGTTCCTTCTGATACTATACTGCGTGTTGGTATGAGGATCCTGAAGTGTCCATTGTAAAGGATTATATGTTAGATTCCTTCCTGGGTCAGTCATATTTATTTTACTATGGTTAGGCAAAATAAAATTTGAGACATCCATTATGGCAAAGTTAAACTCAACAAGCCAAAATGGCATATCTAGATGGAATGGGCAAAAATGGGCCTTTCTGCGGCCCCCTTGCCATACTAGTTACAGCCATCAAGTGTGTTTGTATTAGTATATTTGTACAATATTGTGGCACTATAAGTCTTGATATATATTTGTGTATATAATTAAAATTAATAGAAGAAAAAGGAATATGATGATAAAATGACTAATACAGTCATCTAATTCTAACTTAATTTTATTGCAATGGAAAATAATTGACATGTAAAGGTGATTTTACAACAGAAATAGCAATATTTTTTTATCTCCTTATTTATTTATTTTTGTTTTATTTTGATAATAAAATAACTTTCAGCATAACTGTTACCATTAAAACTGGTGTATATATTGAAATTTTTTCAATAATTTTGCTTCAATGTTTTTATTTTTTAAATCAACCAGATTTAACTCAAGGACAGGTAGAGAGTATATAGTGTGTATATATATATATATATATATATATATATATATATATATATATATATATATATATATATATACTCTACCTGTCCTTGAGTTTAAGTCTGGTTGATTTAAAAAATAAAAACATTGAAGCAAAATTATTGAAAAAATTTCAATATATATATATATATAATAAATACATAGTTCTCTCTAGAAACTAATTATCATATTACATTTAAATATTTCCAGTTGATGAAGGGGAGAGGAGAGAATATGACAATTTGGAAAGTTCTAATGCAGATGGAGGAGAATCCAGGCAAGAAGACAGTACTGAAACAGTTTCAGCAGAAGAAAAAGAAAATTCAAACACTCAGCCAAAACAAGAAGGAACAGTCATTCAAGAAGTATCTGAATAACTTGATAATTGTTTCATTAATTTACTAAAAGATATTAGAAATATCAAATAACTACACCGTGTGAAAGTAGAATGTAGATTAGAAAAATTAGCTAGGTCACTACAATATTTCATGCATTAATTGATCATCAAAGAAAATACAATGATGCCATAGAAATAAATACTCTTTACTATTAATATGTTACAATTCAAAGTTTAAATAGCTATTACGTTATTCCAAAATCCTCTAGAATAGTATATGATTAAGTATTATAGTCGATAAAGTATTAATACCTTAAAATGTTATTATAAAACATATTATGTATTGTGATTTATATGTGTAATGATATTGTGTTATTAGACTTAAGTTGTTTTTCTCTTAATGTATTTCAAGGTAAATGGATTTAATTTCAAACAGTAGAAAGACTGACTGAACTTTTCCTATTTTTTTTCTTTTTTTAAGTATTAATTATTTATTTCTGTATATTTAGATCTGTATATATTTTAGTTTTAAATTAATAGTTATTGTTGTTTTAAACTGTTTTATGATTAAATATTATGTTTTAAAATAAATTCTGAAAACTTACTTATATTCATATCCAAAGCTATACAGCAACCTGACCTAGGGTAAATGCACCAGTTATGGACAGTTTGGACTTTAAATGTAAATAAGAAGCTTCCTTGTTGATTTTAAGATACCAGTTTTTTCTATATTGAAGAACGATTCCCTTTATTGGTAACTGTATGATCAAAGTTCCCAAAAGAAGATTATAGAATGCCTATCATTATTGTTTCTTGAGATCGTTCTATTTTATACCTTCCTACTAACAGTTTCGCTAAGAATAAGTTGAACATTTATGTTCATAAGTGTTTAAATTTTAGAGTTTTCACCATGGAAATATTCAATTTACCATTTTAGAACATCAGTTCTACATTCTAATCACGATTTTAGCATTAAATTTAATTGAAATTAACGATTTTTAAAGAGAGTGTCTATCACTGGATCAAAATTCGGACAAAATCTAGTTATGGACACCCATGTCCATTACTGGTGCTCTACACATTTACAAAAATTTTACATGTTTTTGTATTTTCTGAGTCTAGGATAGAAACAATGGAAAATCACATGGTATTCTTAGCTTTTTTCTTGGTATGTCTTAGTTATAAACAAAAGAAATAAAATTGGAGAAATTATAGATATATCAGTACCTTGTGATACCAACATGGTAATTACCAGGGCCGAAAAACTTAGAAAATATCAAGAACTTGTGTTCAAGTTAAAAACGCTATATCACTTGGAAAAAGTGAAGATGAATCCAATAATCATATCTTCTAATGGTTTAATATTGAACAGCACAGTAGAGGGTACCCAAGATCTTGACTTGATTTGTGCATTTAAAAGCAGCACAGAAAGCAGTCCTGCTTGATACGTGCAGGATTGTCAGAAATTTTCTAAATAAGGATTTTTTTTACTTTTGCGTTCATCAACATTCCCTTAAATGTTTTTTCCAGGATGTGGATGCTATTCCAGAAACCTGAGAAAGCTAAGCAAATTAATAATAATAATAAAACACTTAGCGAAGCCGAAGATTGGATACCGACACCACCAGTCGTTTATTACACACCTCTCTCCACTGGTCGCCATCCAAAGCCAATCCCTTCAGATCAGCCTTTTAAAATTAAAAACAAAAAATAATATTGCTATAGATTATACCTGATATAATTTGATTAACCATACAACGATAATAATAACAAAGGCTTGGCGAAGCTTATATTATTACACACTAACAACACTACCAACAGTTTGCATACTTCCATACCCGGCCATCATCAAAACTCAAGACAAGATCAATTCCATAAGATCAGCCTTAACGCAATCCTCTGACCTTCACTTCAGTCAACCACTTGAACGCTTACAATTCGGTACAGCGCATGTAACCATTTTAGAGACTCTTTTGATACTAATAAAAACAATTTTACACTTCTACTTTATTTGCTGTAAAGCTATCACCTCAATTATATTTATCAGTTTCAGTTCACACAATTTTCAATTCTGTGGCTGAGCAAGTTAAAATGAAAACTATGACATTCTCAAGTCTAACAATGCCAGTTCAAATCCGGCTTGAGCGGGTTGACATTTATGAATCATAACCTTCCCAATCTGGTTAGAATAGGTTTGTTTGTATCTGTAGGACAAATTTTTGGCTAATTTTTAATGAAAAAAATAATTATTGTGTGAAAAATGCAATTCAGAAATAAGTATATACAAAACTAAAGTATTTTCTAAAAACATTAACACTGATTCATTACTTTCTGACCAGTAGAAGTGATTTAAATATCTTTTTAAACTTTATGGGTGAGGCTTTGTAAACTACTGTCTTGATTGACATTCAACAGAAAACAACTTAGTAGTTCGGTAAATATAAATTTATTATTTCTGAAATATTAAGAAAAACAGGTAATTATTCAAATGAAATGGTTAATGGATAACAAATTTATAGTTAAAACTGTTATCAGCTGGCATTTTGAAACATAACTGTGGATGGTAATTTCAAGTCCTGAGGATCACCATAAAGTGTCAACTACAAAGATTCATTATGAAAAATAACAAATCAAAATTACTGGCTGCATAACTGAATTATAAAATTACAACTTTTGAAAGAGAAAATTTGATTCCATCGGTATATTTATCTCAGAAACATGTACTATTGGTTCCATTATTCTTCTAATACTATTTAATTATGTATATTAGTCCTCTCCACTTACTCATTTTTGTCATTTATTTTGAAAAAAATATATATTTATAGAAATTAATAAATAAATATTAGCAAATGGGTCAGTTGATAATTGAAAAATATTTACAATGAATTTTAAACTGTGCTATTATGTACACAAATGATAAATTCTTGTTGTTGTTTTTTTACATTTTCAGATGGATAAATTAGGAATAAAATGGCATCTGAAAATATATTTCCTTCAACAAATTCAATTAACTTGGTTTCTCTCAAAAAAGCCTGTTTGTTTTTTGCTGAAAAAAAAAAACATGACTATAACGAATGAATGAATGATAAAAATAATTTTAATCTGAGACAAAAGTCCCGAAAGAATAATGACAGAGTTTAAGTATTATGCACACCAGTCTGGTATTTAGAACTACAAAATGATACTTTGTCATTTAACTGTTATAGCAATTGTAATCACAAATACAGATACAGCTGCCGTAGTTTGAATATGGAGTAGGTGGCGGTATAGGAGGTGTTTAAAGGATTAGTGGACCAGGATTTAGGTACAGGAACAGACAAAAAATTCAAAAGGAGTTAGTATAAATGATGGAGAATTAGTTATATATTGTCAGTTTATTGCAAAAAGTTGCTAAGCACACTTTTGGTCGATTTTTACCTAAACATACGTAGTTGTTAATTTTGATCATATTTATCGATACAATAGCTCATTAAGTGTATAAAAATAATACAATTCCTTTAATTTGTAAACAATAGTTTCACTAAGTGCAGGATGTTCTGACTTTACAGAGAAAAAATTCACTTCTGCTATTTAATGACATTTTTCATTGGATTAATTGATCAGATGGTTAATACAACTAATTAAGTGAAGTAATTCTAACTCAAATTCTATCTACTTGCAAGGTTATAAAAGTAAGTCAGTGTTTAGTTTAACTATGATAGCGTGCAAAAAGTGATTATATGTGTCTTGGTTTCATTTTTTTTCATTATTATGTATATGTTAAGTGTTTTACTTAATTGTTGAAAATAGAATACATATTTAGAATTTGTATTTGCAAATAACAAAAAATAAATAATCAAACTGCTATTTTAGTATTTTTTTAATGAATCAAAAATTCGGATTTCGATTATCTCAAATTCATTAAGATGTTATTTAATGACTTTTTGCAATAAATCGATGGTATATTGATCAATAGGTCTAGGTATTTTGAGAGTGGATAGAGAAAATCAGAGTAAGGAGTTCTAGGATTTAGGAGTTTTTTTGGTACTGAGGACTTGAAAAAGGATTAAGTTTTGTTCTGGTTTGTTGAAAAAACTAAAATATTTTTTTGTTATGAAAAAAGAAAGAAGGATTATAGTATAACATCTATGGAAGAATTTAGATATAATAGCTATATTTCCAAGTTGGGGATAAGCAAGAGGAAAGACAATGCAGCAGATGACAACTCTTGCGAGAGAAAGAGATCATTGATGGAGATCCTGGGTTGGACTAATCCAACTCAAGGCTGAAAGGCACAACGAGGAAGTTAAAGAAGAAGAAGGGTAGTAAGATCATCAACAATTGGGGATGATCGTACATTTTTTTTTTTTATGCATTCTATTACTTTTATTACAATGATTTTTTGAATTCTAAAAGTCACGTAAATTGTTTAACGTAACATTACATGTTAAATATAATAGCAAATTTAACAAAATGAGAAGAAATGATAGGTTAAAATTTTAAGTTCCAAAATATGTCTGAGATGTATTCCAGAAATACATTTTTCCGCTAGTACCTGATAAAAACGGTTGTAAAGCTACTAAGATAAATGAGTTTAAAAATACAGTAGTGTAGTAATAATAATAATGTTATAAATGTATTATTATGTCTACAGGATTATAAAACAGTTAATTAGTATTAAATGCAACATAATATGATCATGTTATGAACATTCTTTAGAATACGTAACTTAAGGATGAAAAAATAAATAACAACAAACAACTTCTTATATAAATAACACTACAATTTATTTATTAATAAAAAATTATATACAAACATTAACAATTGTTATAAAAAGCTAAGAGAGTTCTGAATACCCTGGGGTTGTAATCTTCAAAAACAGGCAATCCTTTCTCATATGTGCAATGTTTGAAAATGTCCATAACAGGAAAAGACCAAAAATAATTCTTTGGTTCAGTATTTGAGGCACATGAAGTTGAATTTAATTGTAGAACAGAAAAGTGAAAGAATTGGCCATTTGTGTGAACAGTTTGAACACTTATTGGTTCCTTCAGTTTTCCTGTTGGATTCTACAAAAAAATCTTAATATGAATAATAAATTTAAACAAAAATTGTTTTATATTGATAATTTTATATTTTAATGAAAAATAAAATATGTATATAAAATAATAAACTAATATAATTAATAGACCAGAGATTATATTAAAATTAGTTTAATTCAGATATTAAAATTGAAAAATAAAGGATCTTATAATGACGGATTTTTTCTTTTCTATTGAGGTTCTTGAAACAAGGTGAAAAATTTTCACATTTAAAGTTTACCACTTCAATTTTTTGTAAATGCACAAATATATTTTTTCTAATAACTTTTTAACTACAATACAACGTGGGTTTAATGAAAATTAATTTAAGAAAGCTGAACAATATATACCATAGGTGGGGAACGTACTGCCTCAAGGCTGCATGTGGCTCCTATGGTGCAGCCATGGCTATTGTTTTTGCGCGATATTTATTAATCTAGAACTAGAATTGATTAATGTTTAATTATTTAAGTTAAAAAATTTGGATGTCAATAGAATTAAGTTGAATATATGTATATGGGTGTGCGTATTTAGAGATAAATAAAATTGTAGCAACAGTAAATAAAAGGAATTGTTATGGCCTCCATTACTACTGAAAAACCTTAATGCGGCTTCCAATAATAAAAAGGTTCTTCACCTATGATGTATACCAAATAAAAAATATTCAATTCAATTAGTTCATGGATAAAAACATAGATATAATTAAATGATAACCTGTGGTGCCTGAGCCATAGCAAAAACCCATGCCTGCATTAAACTTCTGCCTAGGATCTGATCAGAAGTGACTGGGCTATCAAAGAGGTTATGAACCTGAGTTTCATTATAATGCACCACGGCAGTGTGTATCTTTCTTAATTTTGCATCAGAGGTCAAAGCTGAAAGAAAAAAATTGGTACAATAAAACACAAACAATGGTATAAAGTGAGGGTATAAATAAGAGAGTCATTATTTGGTATGACGAAATGTTTAAATGCCAATATCTCAAATCACAAATTTGTTATAAAAACCTTCTTAAACGGTATATTTTCCTTCAGAAAAAAGCCCAGTTCTTTTCACAAAACGTCTTACAGAGGTTTCTCCACAACTACTGTAATCTATGTACGGTGGATTCTACGAAGCCAAGAAAACCAGTGTATGGTGGCAGTAACCAATCTATGCAAACTGTGAATGAACAGAGACTCAGATAATAATTGGTATTTTTCTGAACTTATAGAATCTCTTTTATGGAGCCAATAATTCAAAAAAGCAAATTCAATGGACAGACATAGGTCTCGGTTTCAACTGGTCTACATGATTGTGATGCATCGCTCCTAAGGACTTATGACTAGCTACAACAAAAGAGATGTGAATAAACTAGGAAATAAGTGAATTGAAAGAGAAGGGATGAGGAAAAATAAATTTGTACAAAATTACACTCTTATATATTCAGGGCCCTCATTTAAAAAACACGACTAATCTTGTTGGTGTGATTATTAAGACCTTCAGATGATGGTAGCAGAATGGCATCCGTTATCCTCCAGAATTTTATTTTTCATAAATAGGTTATTATAGTACAATAGGTTCTTCTAAACAACACTGGCATCATCTGTTGGTGTACATATTTGTGATTACATGTTACAAAGAGTGAGTTTGTACATCATAAACTTTAGCATGTTCATTTCATCATTGGCAAACAGGTCCATCAGACCAAGCCAGAAGCAGCTCAGTAACCAATATGTTACTAAGTCTACATGAGATAAATTAAATAGTTAAATAATTTAAAGGCTAATATACTAATAATAAAAAAAAGTTATTTTTACTAAGAGAGAAAATTGTACAAGATTTACACTTTGCTTTACAATAAAAAATACCAGCACACCATTAATTAGAAAGTGCAGTTTTTTTATTTTATTATAATTAAGCGAAATAATGAACTTACGAAAACTTGGTTCAAACTTGAATATATTTGATTCTTCTAGTGATACAACAGGTGATAAGGGAGAAATATCAGGTAATTCTGAATTAATTTCTTGCTGAGTCCTTTCAATGGTTGGGTGCTTATCAGCAAATACTACAGCATCACCTAAACAGGTTAGTATAAGTATATAGCACTGTTTACTAATTATTAAATGGTACTTAAGGTTGAGGTGCAAAAAAAGTCTTCAACTTAGTCTATTAAGTTGTACACTAAGTAGTACTACTTAGTGATAGTCAAAAATGTAACTATAACAAATCCTAGGATATTACCTGTCACTGAAAATAAAATCTTCTGTTTGGAAGGAAGAGTAACTGGCACTACAAATTTGGCTGAATTAACCACGGAGCGTTGACCAAGTAATTGAGGGCTAAAGGATGAGCACAATTGAAGAAGTCTATTTACTAGTAGATAACTAAAATTAAAGTAGTAAATCTGATTAATAACCAATACTTGTGAAAATAAACAGTCAAGTAATTTTATTCATATTACTCATAGATTATTCATTTATAAATTATAAGTTAGTAAAACACATACTAATCTGATTGTAAACACAGAACTTTGTAAAATGTAATAATAAAAAAAAAGCAATGTAAGGAAAAAAGATTGAAAAATAAATTACTTTCTTCGCTTATCTGTGATCCCATATTCTCGTGGAAATATCCAAGCTTCTCTTGAAGGATCATGGCGTTTAGGGAGCAATCCCTGAGTTGCATCATACATTAATGATGACTTGATACACCTTAGAGAAAAATTTTAGTTTAATTTTATGAGCAAAATTAGTATTAAAACAAGGTATAGGATTATCCCAGTACTTTTTATGATTAAAAATTTCTTAATCAACACATATTCCTTAAAATATTTTAAATCAAAGATTTGTAAAAAAAAATATACATTTTTACCATTATTGGACTCTTAACATTTTGACTGCGAGACTTCATAACAATTTTTCTTCCCGATGTTGGGTCTTGAAATCCAAAAAGAAGTTCAGAAAAAAGGATTTTTTTTCTCCCTTGAATTTGTTTAAAATACTATTTTTAGTCACTCTGAAAGATATTAGCTTTCGAAAATGCATTTAAAACATTTTTATTTAACTTTGGGTTCAGAATAAATCTGCAACTGACAGCTTCCAACAAATGGTCAGAAATCGGAACGACCGAACTGAGGTCCAGAAGACTAATGAATCCATGGACCAAGACACAAGGTGGAAACGGAGCTTTTCTCAACAAGTAGCAATAGCCGAAGTAGAAATGCAGGTATTCTGGACGTTCCAGAGACTGATCCTATTAAACAAATGCAATAAAAACAGATTGTTGTATTTATAAGGATATTCCAATGATAAATTACTCTGGATCCAAAATACAATTTTATTAATTTTAAGAGTACCTACATTAATTAATATTAAGGTAAAATAAAGTAGCATTGACTCTGGACCTAACTACCTCAAATTGGAGAGAAAACCTAAGTCACAGGTAAGAATGATTATAATGAGAAGTTCTGTGGCACCTACCTCACCCACACAGCTTCCAATCAACAATTCAAAAATGCTGCTATGTAAATCTGACAAAATTACAAAAGAATGGATTATAACTGAATTGTTGCATCGAATTGTTGTGAATTGAAGAAAAATATATTTCATTTCATTCAACTTTGTATTTGATTTTGAGGTACAAAAGAGCAGTAGGAATATTCAGAACTGATGACAAATATTTATTTAAACCATAGAAAAATTATCCACATATTGTAAGTAGTTAAATGAGTTATTTAATTATTAAAATATACATTATAAGTATATATAAGACTAAAAATAAGTAATTAGGGCTTTAAATTATTTCCCAAATATGATGAAAAAACTAAATAGCTTACTCATTTGATATGCCGAAATGAATGAAAAACAATAAAAATACACATCAGATTCACAAATGTTTATGCACTTTGAGAAGCAATACTTGATAGTTATGGCGGGTTTCAGAACCTTTAACCAGTTAGGTTAGTCAGCAATTGGTAAGAATGGTAACTGAGCCTGAAAAAGTAAAATCAGCAAAAATTTATATATATTGTAACGTAAATATTACAGTGATTTTGAATAGTGGCGCGAAGGCAATGACGTCACGAACTACTGTCAAAAATGGACAAAGACAGATGGAAGGGGAAGCAAGGCCATATGTTAGGCCAGAAGGTAACCAGCCGGCTAGTAAAGTAAAGAGAATCGAGAGAAGAAAATGTGACTAACAAGTAGTGAGTGCAGACAAAAGAAGAATAGAAGATTGTAGAAGTTGAAGACAACAATATAGAAGAAGATTCACCGCAGAACAGGGTGAGCGAAATATAAATAATGACAGTTCGAAAGCGCGCCACGATTAGACCCGACAAATGAATGGAAATTCATAAAAAGTTTATATAATATTAATGTATGATTTTATATTTATAATTGAGGAATGTGTGTTTGTTGTCTCAACCCAACATGAGAAATAATTATTGATTAAAATGAATATAATTTGATTCAAAAACTGTTTTGTTTACTTTTCAAAGGAAACGTAACCTTACAATATTATATATAGGAGTGGCTTCATATCAAAGGCGGACATATGTAATTTTCAGAAAGTGGAGAAACAGTAAATTTTTGTTTTATTGGTTTAACTCAAACTGTTTCTGATGATTTTATTTGCAGGGACAGTTCTCGACTTGAGCCCTTGGTTCAAGTAGTCCCTCATCGACTGCGGATGTGCCGGCACCCTCTTGCACCATTGGCAGTTAATGTAAAGCTGTAGCGATTGTAATGATTGTGGAGCCTGTGGCCAATCATGTTCTGAGGTCAGGTAAGAATTTTTACCTGATCAAATTGGTCGCCGGGGACCTAGCAGCGCAAGAGTGCTTACACTGCTTGGCTGTGGCAGTCGTAGTGGTCGTGTGTTTGTGACTGCTCACTGTACTACACCAGTGTTCAGCTGGTCCTGACTGAGTTCCGACCAGTCATCTGGTTTCAGGGTATTGATGAGCGTTTGAAAGCTATCATAGTAGCTTAGTAAGCTATCATAAGCTTGCCGTATCTGTGAGCACCGGTATGTGCTTACATCTTGAAACTATCCGGGGTGTGAGGCTAGATTGGGGTTAGTTAAGACCTTCGGGTTAGGAACAATCCCAGCTGGTGCCCACGCTGCATAGAATAGTTGTATTCAAAGTGATGATTTTATTTAAGAATGCTCAAGTTCAATCATGAAAAAAAATCATTAGGATTGATAATACAATAAAATAAAAACATTTCTCTATTTGAAGCAATGACAGTCTAGCAACCTAGACCTGAAAGTCTAGTAAACCTTATTCAAATTTTAGTAAAAATTATCTAAGACAAACATACCTCTTCACTAATTTATCTTGTAAAGGCAATTCTTGCTCAATTGATACATCTTGCTGCAATGGTAAGACATCAGAATTTATTTCAACAGTGTTTGTTAGTACTTTAGCTTGTTTAAATCCCTCTAGAAGTACATTATGATCTTTGTATGTCAGGCAAGGCTCTTCATGATAATCAGGATGAGCTTCACCAGCAACCACAGGAACAGGTTCAAAACTTTTCAATGGCAAACTACAAAATAAATACTAAAAATATATACAATATAATAAACACTTATTGAATTAGTTTTAAGTAAAGTTGAAATTGAATTTTTTTCTGATTCCTTGAAAAAACTTGATAAATGACAAAACCAATGTTTTGGTCTCAGTAATTTTAAGCTACAACATTGGTACTTTGCTTGTCAACACTTTATAATTTGAATTAAGTGGTCTCCTATCCGCTATGATTTGAAATCTCACAAACCTGTGATTAGTTTGAAATGAGAAATGATCTGCTGTTAGTTTACACATCCTAAATGAGATAACTAACACAGAGAGGTAACATTTAGTCAGTTACTGATATCAACCAATTTTTACTTTCACTTACGTATATATGTAATATATATTAAGGGTAAGTATTGCGATCGTGAAAATTTTTGAATCTCAATTTTCAACATAAATGCATGTTTTGAGGTCCCCTGAGTCCAAGTAACCAAGTTTCGCAAAATGGTCTGTGTGTGTGTGTTAACAATCTAACTCATAAACGAAAAGTAGTACAAAACCGATATTAAGTATTTAAGGTTTGTATATGAGCCGGATGTGACAGTAACTTTTTCGTTAAAATCGTCTAACTGGAAGTGCCACTTTATATGAACGCTGAAACACATTTTTACAATTTTCTCAAAAACGGCTCTAACGATTTTGATTAAACTCGGTGTATCATTGTATAAGTAAGTTGTCTTTAATATCATTTAGGTCTTATCCCTGTCGATGTCACTTTACAGGGCTTAAATTCACATTGTTCATATATGTCTTCCTCTAAAGTACCTTTAATATGGTTTACTTTAAAAAGTTGATCATTTCGCATTATTCAGAGTTACAAAAAAATGCTACATATAACTTTTGAAAGAATTCGATAAGTTAATAAAGGAGAAAAATGGATAAAAACCTGCGTTGCTACAGACTGTATCGCCTAAACGAATGTACTGATTTCAATGAAACTTCGCTAAAGTCATTTTCTCGACACCCTTTAAATTTATCTTTATCAAATTTATCTTAATAAAAAACAAATTAATATTTTGTGAAATCTATTAAATTACTAGCTTGAAAGAAGATCTACGCAACTCATTAATTTCAACATGCATATAATCATAATCAGATTGTTAATTATGATCACTCAAAATTGGAAAACCTTTCATTTTTTTTTTTAATTGCTGTGCTGGACTTCTTCCAATCTAGCTACATGTTCATAAGCCTTCCTTACCCTGAAAAGTTCTAAAATTAAATTATGTAAAAATCAACATGCGCCATGCAATAAAAAATTTAATATGAGAGCTTTTATTTAAAATAATTACATTTTCTTTTCCGGTCTCTTTTCTTTAATAACATCCAAAGCATCTTCAAATTCAATACCTCTCTGTTGGAGTTGTTTTAAGGGACCGTGATCTAACACTCTCTTTTTTCCTTGTATTTTCCAATGCTCGCGAAACATATGGCCAGCATGTTGCTGTAATCGAACTGTAGACAACTTCATTTCAATATCAAAATCTACAATCACAACTTGCACGGGTCGGCGCTGTAACCTCCTTCAAAACTTAACCTTAATTTATTTGGAGGTTGCTCACAATCAGCTGTTGTTTACTTGTCAAAGTAAGGTTACTACTGGCATAACCTGCTCGCTGGAAGTTCTGATGTAGTTAATATTTCCGCGTATTTTAATTTGTAAATACCATGGCATGGTTTGGTGAAGGACTGTCATCTCTGAGAGGGCAGCTTTCTAATTTAGCTAAAGGTGTTTTGGTTGAAGAGGAAGAATCCGAAAAGAAAAATGAAGGTAAGGACATTTTATAGGAAACAAAATTAATTCCAAGACTAATTTTAATTTTTTCTTTAAAGGTTGCAATCAATTTAATTATAAAATAGTGATACATAGTTTTACTTTCAGTGAGCAATGTCGATTCAACAGTTCCTGTAACTTTGCCTGATGTCCAAACTGTAAGTGATTGATGTTTTAAGTTTAATTTATTTATTATTTTTAGATGTTGGAACATATTCGAATGGACTCAGGTATTAGGTCTTCATTAATTCGGTCTGAAACCAAACAATGACAAATATTCATTTTAAAAAAATATCCATTACAGCTACAGTTCTTTTTGTATATTAATAATATTTCTGTTTAGTATTTTTATTAAAACTTATTTCTATACGGAATTTCTAATACATTGATTTATTTTCATTTTTATGTCATTCCAAATAACTTGTCCATTTATGTTAGTATTTTAGTAGGTCCGTTAGACATAATTGAATTTTTTATTTCTGAAATGACCCATTGACTTTTCTCCATTTAAAAAAAATATATAAATATATATCTAAAATATGAACACTTAAAAATTCACAAAAAATATATGGTGTAAACAATCAATCTGTACGTTATTAATGCAATGAGTGTTTTTTATATAAATGATGCATCTTTGAAGAAGTGTACTCACAACACTCTCGAGGCATAACCCTGATACTAAATCAATTTGCCCTTTTTCTATTTTTATTTTGTATGTAATGAAAAGCTTCTTGTTGGATGGTAAGCAGATTTTCAGTTGTATTTTATAATGGGTATCTGATTTTTTATTATGACTGACTATTTATCTACACATAATTCTTCTCTAAATAATTGTTTCTTCTTTGAAATTTTGTTTATGTTTTCATTGTTAGTTTTCCTTTTGTTTATATTAATTAAATTATGTTAAATGTATGAATTTTTTATTTACAAACCTTAGAACCTAATACATACATAATTTTAATTTTTCATTGTAAATATAATTTATAAACTTAAAAAATATTAAAGTTGCTACAATATATACCTTTTTCATGATCTAAACATTAAATATGCATTTATATATTTTTCACATTGATGGATGCATTTTTTATTATTATTAATAGTAATAATTCTTTTACTAATTGTATTTTTATTTTTTATATGATGATTATTATCAATTTACAGAATAAATTATGAATAATATGACCCATGAGGTCCAAAAGATTCAAAATTTGCTTGCTGATAAAAACGAAAAAATATTTACTACTTGTGATTTTTAAGTTTTACTGTCTTAAGAATTGTTAAAATTCGTTTTAATATTAAGAACTGAAGATACTTAAAATATGGTACTGATTATCTAAGGTCGATTAAATTTTTTTTTTATAGAAGTAGGAATATGTCCTTATCAATATTAATTCTTTGGGTTTAATTTTATGGTTTAAATTGGACAGAGTACCTGAAACTATAATTATGCCAGTTATTTATCTAAAAGCCAACAACTATTCTATAAAAACAAAGAATGTCTTGAATCATGCTTATATTTATTTATTTATTAACTCTATGAAAATTAATGAGCTCAGTGCAAGAGTCATGGCGAGGCTGTATATTATTCACAACAAAATTATGTGTCCTGTTTCTAATTTCATGCCTAAAATGGAGCTTTCTATAAGTCAATGCCTTCTAAATTATCTAATTCCATTAATTGTTGGCACTTAGATACATTCTCAAGCCTCCGTTGTTTTGAAATGAATTGCTTAGTGCTACTTTTAATATAAATACTGACAGCAAGTAAACTCCATCACCAAACGATTAGTTTGTGGTGAATATTTACATGTTTATTAAATGAAAATGAAAAAATTCTTATATATTCTGGGATCAAGTTCCTTTAGATCAAAATTAAATGGGCATCACATATTGGCCAAAACAGTATTATTATAAATGTTATCATTTTTTAGACTTGATTATATACAGCTGATTTTTATCCAGACCCTGCATTTCATTCTTCTGTGTCCACTGGCTACAAAATTTTGAAATTAAGTCAAGTATACTTCTCGAAATTGACAATATTCTGGTGTCTGGCAATTCGCGGCCTTCGTTTGAAAAGGTCTAACTGAATTTACTATAATTTTGAGAAACAGAGCTTCAAAGTTACTTAATTGTATCACTTATTAATATAATTTTGAATATTAAAATTTAGCAGTTAAAACTATATCATTTCGGAATCCATTTTTGTAGCATCATAAGTAAGTTGGAAAGAGGTTTGGAGTTGAAATTTGATATTGATTATAAGGAGAAGGTATTATTATGATTATGAGTTACAAATTAAAGTTTTTTTTTTGTACGTCCTGTAAAGATCGAGAATTAGGTGGTGTTTGAACTTATATGATGATATTTTATCTATATTCATGCAGGAGGTATTTTATTTTGGCTATAAACCTTTTTACAATCAGACTCTCAATTGGCCTAATGACAAGACAAAAGTGGCAGATATTACTAAAGTCGGAATGATAAAATGGAATGAATAGATTTGGAGTGATCAAGTAACATGTTTGCTGTTTTTTTCGTTTATTATTTTCAATAATAAATTTTTGTGACCAACCAAGAAAAAAATGTCTTCAAATTTGGGGGTGTGATTTTTAATGAAAACATACAATATACGTTAAATCCAGAAATGTAATAGAAAAATCCCTCATTCATCCAACCCCAATTTTTGAATAAGGCTATTTGTTTTTTAATTTCCTTATATGTTAACAAAGCCAATAAAGATAATACAAACTACTTAAAATCTAAGGTTTTTCTTTTCATGTAGTATATGTAGAATTTAAAAAACGAATAAAATAAAAATATTTCATATATCGTTTTTTAAACAAATTAAATAATTTAAAAAAATTATTTTATCCTTAATAAGTTAAATGAAATTAGGGAAATTTATTTCAGAAGCAAAATTCTACTTTTAAGTGATTGCTCATGCGATTATGATTAAAGAAAACATAAGAAAAAGGACGGAAATATGTTTTTTTGCTGAAACAATACCAGAGTAAAATTTTTAATAAAAGTTTTTGATCATCTAATGATAGATTCATTGCTAAAACCTGACAAATAATGTGAAATTTGTTTGTTTACGTTATATATTTTTTACCTCTTAAAATTTTAGTGTTATAAACATTTTTGCGGGTTTTCTAAAAATTATGAAAATATCACATACTTAGATCATTCTTAAATAATCTATTAAAATATATTATACACAGAGAACTGATCTTTAATAATAAAATCATTTTTTGTTTAACTCTGATTAAAATAACCATAAACCAAGTACCATGTGCCGTATTGCAGTTAAAACCTTCTCAAACCAATTACTTTCAAATGTTGTCCGTAGTCAACTGTGTTTCTTTATTTTTTCAACAGATTGCAATAAAATTCATTTGTAACATAGACAATTTAGTTGTGAGTGATTTCTGAGTGAAAACTCAATTTTCACAATTTTGTTACTTAGAACCTTTTCACACCAAGACCACAACGAATGGGTTAAGAAATAATATGACTTTTAACACTTTGACATATCAGTGAACTTGCATATCTAATTTAAACATTGTTAGATTGTTTGTAAAATTAACATGGAATAATATTTAAACTCAGCGGCTAAATCAGGTTCATTCGACCCCTGGCTAATACATTCCCATCCATACATCGGTGCATGTCAACGTCGCAATGAAACCTGAGTATTTTTCGGGGGCACTCGCCTACTACGCCAAGTTTAAATATTCACACATGTGACTTATCAACTATCTCTCAGTATGTTTAAGTAGATATGCTATTACATACTTCTTAGGTTTAATAAGATTATTTCAGTAGCTTTTTTTTTTTTTTTTAAACTAAAATGATAGATATCAATTGTACAAAAAAATTATTCACTTTAAATTACTGAAATAAAATTTATTTATCAACATAATTTACTAAATAAAATTCAGATAATTAGGATAAATTTAATACAATACTATTTTAGACAAGAATATTCTGAATTTTATTATATATATTTTTAGTTTCCAGCCACAAATTTTTCGGTATTTATATCTTCATATTAGTTAATCTTAATGATGATAGAGGAAACTTTAAGCATTTTTCATATAAATACTTTTCCAGTATAATTTTGGTATAATATATTTTATTCTGTTCGTATAATTATTTTATTAATTGAACGGACGCGGTGAGATGGAACCCATGAATAATTATAAATGGCAACAGTTACTGTTAAAGGGCATGTAAACGAACTTGGAACAATTTTCTTTTTTAGTAATGAAGGGGCAACCATTACTAAATAAAAAACATTCGCAAGTCGCCATAAACAAAATAATTGCTACACAAAATTTAGAGTTAGTAAATAAAACAAAATAAATAACTACTTTATGCATAAGAAAAACACAAAGCATGATTTTCGATCAGTATGTTTGATTGGTACCCAGAAAACTATTCTTTCACATTTTTATATAGTATGCTCCTCCACACGGAGAAGCATAATATTACCAAAGAATAATATTACAAATGAGAAAAACATAATTAAAATCATATAAAAAAACTTCAATCGAATTCCACTTATTCGTTTTTCTCATTTTTATCACATTCATCTCTTAAATTGTTTTAAGACAGAACACGTTATAGGTAGCTTTGATGGTTGAGCATGTTAGGGCGTTGTCCTTTTTAATATTCTCTATAGTGGGACTTGA